CTGCCATGGCGACACCGCCTTCCGCTTCCGCTTCCGCTTCCGCAGCGCCGCCCCGCCCGAACCGCCCCGGCACCGGCACCGGCACCGGGCCCAGGCACACCGGCTCTCCGCCGCTCCCCGCCCGGCCTGCGAGTGCGGGATCCATGGCCGGGAAGGGTCCGGGAGGAGCTGGGGAAGGGCTCGGTGTCCGGGGGGCCGGGCCGGGGCTCCCCTGCTCCGCACACGTGGGACGGGCTCAGAGCCAGATCACCGCCCCGGCCATGTCGCCTCCCCGGTCCCTTGTGYCCCCCGGCCCGGCCCAAAGACCCCAAGGGGGTGTACCCTGCTCTGGCCCCGCGGGCAGGGCGCGGCGGGGGCCGGGGACCGCGTGTCCCCCCGGTACCGGGGGCCGATCCCGCCCGGGGGCTCTGGAGCCGCCCGTGCCCGTCCTGTCCCTCCCCCGCTGTCCCCTGCCCGCCCCGGCTGCGCTCTGGGGCTCGTTTGCATTTCAGAGCAGCCGCTTCGCCGGAGCCGCTTCCCAGAACTGCCGCACTGTGTTGGTTTCTGCCGGGCAGCGGCCGCTCCTCCGGGGCAAATTAAACTGTTTAAAATAAACCCACGGACAGAGCTGGGGTTGTGTGAGAGCTCCGAACCGACAATTGCCAAATGCAGAGAGACGGTGGGGAGGGAAAGCTCCGGCGCCGCTCCTCCCGCCGGGCACGGTCCGCACTGGGGGGCGGAGGGGGCGAGGAACCCCCTCGGACAGAGCTCCGGGGAGCAGCGGGGGCAGAGCGGCCAAAGCACCGACCGCACCGAGTGTCCCGGGGCTCCCGGAGCCACCGCCGGCCGCAGCGAGACTCGGCGGGGTGATGGAACAGCTGCGGAGCCCAGAGCCCCGCACAGCCCCGCACAGCCCCGCACAGCCCCGCACAGCCCCGCACAGCCCCGGGAGAGGGTTCCCCCGGGTCCCCAGACCGAGGGTGGCACGTCAGCCTGGAAATCAGGGCTAGGGAACGGGGACCCGCTGCGGTGTGAGCGCCCCATGTCCCCTCTCCCCGGTGTACCCTCCGTGCTCCCCCAGCCCCTCTCAGGGCGGTCCTGCCGGCCGGGCTCAGCGCCCCATGTCCCCTCTCCCCGGTGTACCCTCCGTGCTCCCCCGGCCCCTCTCAGGGCGGTGCTGCCGGCCGGGCTCAGCTCCCGGCACAGGCGGGGGGCCCCAGGGGCCGGAGCGGGGCTGGAGCGGGGCCGGAGCGGGGCCGGAGCGGGGCCGGAGCGGGGCCGGAGCGGGGCTCTCCGTTTCTCCGCAGGCCGGGGGCGGGGGCAGTCCCTGCCCAGAATGGGCTGTCGGGGCCGGGACGGGGCTGCAAGAGCTGCGGCTGGGGCCGGCTCGGGGAGCCGGGCGGAGAGGCACGGAGCGAGGGCTGGCGGGGCGCCGGGGGCCGGGCCGGGCGGGGCGCGGGCGGCGCCGCCGCGTTACAAGAAGCCGCGCAGTTCCAGGAACCCGAGGGCGGGCGTTTCGCCCGCTATAAGAGACCGCCCTGGGCCGCCTGGGCAGCTTCGCCGCCGCTCACCGGCTCAGCACGGCCGCCARGAACGGCTAACGCGTCCCAGGTACGGCCGCGGAGGGAGTCCCGAGGGCAGGGGGGACAGCCGGGCACCGGGRTACCGGGACCTCCGGGGGCGGGGGGCGATCGCCGGGAACCGGCCAGAGAACAGGATCACCGGGGMTGTTGGTGCCGCCGCGGGGCGATAACCGCTGTCCCGGGGTAACGATGCTCCCCCGGCAGTGAGAGAGCAGGAGAGCAGCGCGGGGAGAGCGGGAGATCGCCGGTGTGCCACTGCTCCCGGAGGGAAGAACTGGGGACCAGGGGTGCCGGTGCCGCGGGAGGACAGTGGCCGGGAACGGGGCTGCCGGTTCTCCCGGGACTGGAGAGTCAGGGATGGGAGCTGCCAGTGTTCCGGGAAGAGGGAGCTGGGGAGGGAGCTGCCGGTTTTTCTGGGAGGTGAGAGCTGGGGAAGAGGATTGCCGGGGACCGGGAGCGCTGCGGGAGGATAACAAGCCGGGAGCGGGGATGCAGATGTTCCGAGGAAGGAAGAGACGGGGATTAGGATGCCGGGGCTCACCGCTGTCTCTGCCACAGGTGATGGTGTAGCAGCGGCTGCTGCCAGCAGCAGCATCCCGAGCACACGAAGCTGGCTCCCTGCGCCATGGTCACCCACAGCAAGTTCCCCGCCGCCGGGATGAGCCGCCCCCTCGACACCAGCCTGCGCCTCAAGACGTTCAGCTCCAAGAGCGAGTACCAGCTGGTGGTGAACACCGTGCGCAAGCTGCAGGAGAGCGGCTTCTACTGGAGCACGGTGACAGGTGGCGAGGCCAACCTGCTGCTGAGCACCGAGCCAGCTGGCACGTTCCTCATCAGGGACAGCTCGGACCAGCGGCACTTCTTCACCCTCAGCGTGAAGACAGAGTCGGGCACCAAGAATCTGCGCATCCAGTGTGAGGGTGGCAGCTTCTCCCTGCAGAGTGACCCCCACAGCAGCCAGCCCGTGCCCCGTTTTGACTGCGTGCTCAAGCTGGTCCATCACTACATGCCGCCCACACCCTGCGCCGTCCCCGAGCAGCCGGGGGGGGCCCTGCACCCCAAACGCACCTACTATATCTACTCAGGTGGCGAGAAGATCCCCCTGGTGCTGAGCCGCCCGCTCTCCTCCAGCGTCTCCAGCCTGCAGCACCTCTGCCGCAARACCGTCAACGGGCACCTGGACTCGTACGAGAAAATGACTCAGCTGCCGGCACCCATCAAGGAGTTCCTGGACCAGTATGATGCCCCCCTTTAAGGGGCCAGCGGAGCAAGGTCACATGCGACAAGCACAAGAACAGGGGACAGTGACAGTGCCCCACCAGCACAGGAGCTGGCAGGGCACACCGAGCCTTTCCATCCGGGGAGAGGAGAGGGGGAGCTGGGGCAATCTGCCGTGGGCCAGCTGGGATCTCTTGGTGCTGGGGGCTCTCCCCGAGCAGGCACGACACCTCCTCTCCGTGGGGAAAAATGTGGCTCCGAGTGGACTGTGGATGTTACAGTGAGCCCATGGCAAAGCCTGCACGGGCTTGGGCAGCCAGGACAGCTCTCACAGCGTGGGGAATGCACCCCGGCAGCTCCATTTGGGAGTGCCCTGGCAAGAGCCCCTTCCACCCCCAAAATGGAAAGCACTGGAGCCCAGGAGTGCCTGATCACTTTTCCTCCGTTTTAAGGGGAAGGTGTTTTTTGCCCATGCTCTACTTTACCTCTTGCTGCCTCCTTGTGGGTGGAAGCTCCTTTCACACCAAGCCCCAGACAAAGAGGGCGATGCCTTTGTCCCCTCCCTGTCATTTTCAAGGGGACTCAGCCTTAATATCTCCCTGCCCCRCGGTCTGGGTTGGCGCACATCAATTGGAGCTGTGCAGTGATGGTCCTGCTGATGTGCTGTGAAGCTGGAGGGGAAGCGTCGCGTCCTGATGCTGCTGTTGAGTCCCACACAACCGCGAATGCGAGGAGCACCCGGGGACCCCGGGCCCGAATTCCTGAGATCACACCCCGCCTCTACCCAGCCATTCCCACAGCCCCTGGCTGTGCTGCTCCGCAGGCACCGATCCCTGCAGGAACRCAGCGGGAGGATCCCCTGGAGCGTGTCATCTCGTGAGTGCTTTTCTGCGTCTGCCCAGAGAAGTGGTTGGGTTTTCTGACTTTTTAAAATTTTTATTCTTATTTTTTTAACCGAAGGGATGTTTACAGGCCAACGTGAATCACTGTCTTTTATAAAGATTCCATCTTCACCTCCAGCCTTGAAGGCTGAGCAAAACGATGCTTGAAAATTCAACCAAAACCAAACTCAGATGAAACTTTGCACATATTTATATTTATATTCAGAAAGAAAATGTTTCCATAATTTATAATAAAGAGCACTATTTTTTAATGAAAACCATMAGATCTGGTTTGATTTCTCTCTCGCACCCCTGAGGCCGCTTGGCCCCGGCACAATGCTGGGATGTGTTTACACCACGTAAGCGCCGCTTCCTGGAGCCGCTGTCCATGCTGGGTGATCCCGCGGTGACTCAGCCCAGCGTGCGTAATCTCTGCCCCAGCACTCAGGTATGTGAGCCCTGAGCCCCTGTCTGCCCCAGCACTCAGCTATGTGAGCCCTGAGCCCCTGTCTGTCCCAGCACTCAGCTATGTGAGCCC